AGGACAATCTGTATTCTAGGTCTGCTTTGGTTGCATGTGACCGTTATAGCCGAGAACAAGTAAGGACTCCTGCGTTAAGATTTCTGGTATGGCACCCATGATATCCTCCATGATGGTCCCTATTTCAGATACTCCACTATATCATCCCTCATGAGAGATCCTGCAAATTCCAATTTGACGTCCAAGTGACATCCACCAGGAAGGCCATGGAAAAGCTGATTTTTTTTTTTTAATTTTGAAAGTACGCAAAATATGTATTGGAACAAGAAATAGATTTGTATTCAAATAAGAAAGCATTCAAAATACTTCTTAAGCACTTACTATGTGCCTAACTCTGGAAGCTAAAAAAAAAAAAAAAAAAAAAAAAAAAAAAAAGGAAAGCTGAACTTGACCTATTTTTGTTTTTTTATTTTTATTTTCTTTTAAAGTTGACTTACTTAAGTAATCTCTACGCCCAATGTGCGGCTCAAATTCACAACCCTGAGATCAAGAGTCACATGCTGTACTGATGCGGCCAGTCAGGCGCCCTGATCCATCTTTTTTTTTTTTAAATGCTTGTTTATTTTTGAGAGAGAGAGAGAGAGAGAGACTGAGTGTGAGTAGGGGAGGGGCAGAGAGAGAGAGGGAGACACAGAATCTGAAGCAGGCTCCAGGCTCCAAGCTGTCAGCACACAGCCCAATGAGGGACCCAAGCTCACGAATTATGACATCGTGACCTGAGCCGAAGACGGACGCTCAACCGACTGAGCCACCCAGGTGCCCCCCCACCCCGATCAATCTATTTTTAAATTAATCTTTCCTGCCTTCAACTGTTAGCTTCAGCTCTGATGTTGACCGCAATATGTTTCTACAGTTACAAATTCAGATTAGCTCAATATGTAATGAGTAAATGCCAGTTATATGCCAAATCTCGTGTCCGGTACTGATTTCGTTTGGCCTTCAGTTACTTAGTCTCCTTTCTCATGAAGACAGGATTCTCCCTAATGAAGTACTTGCTCTTGAAAATATTTCCTCACAACTGCAGACCTTGAAAGAAACATACTTAGTGGGGCGCCTGGGTGGCTTAGTCGGTTAAACATTCGACTCTTGATTTTGGCTCAGGTCATGATGTCATGGTTCGTGGGATCAAGCCCCACGTCAGGCTCTATGCTGACCACGTGGAGCCTGCTTGGGATTCCCTCTCTCTGCCCCTTCCCTGCTCTCTCTCTCTCTCTCTTTCTCTCTCTCTCAAAAAAAATTAAACTTAAAAATTTTTTTAATAAATAAACTTAAAAAAAAAGAAACATACTTAGGGAACTCTGGTTTGCCCTCTCTTTTTTACTTTATTTATTTATTTTGAGAGAGAAAGCATGAACAGAGCAGAGAGAGAGAGAGAATCCCAAGCAGGCCTTGCACTATGAACCCAGAGGGGGCTCGAACCCACGAACCACGAGATCACAACCTGAGCCGCAATCAGGAGTCAGGCGCTGAACCGACCGAGCCGCCCAGGCGCCCCTGGTTTGCTCTTCATTTGTTTAGTTTTTGGCATTTCTGTTTGCTTTCACTGCAGTGGACAGAGCGCTCGGTGGGTGTGAATCCTTGCTCTGCTGGTGTTCGGGCTCTGCGTTTTCTCATTTGGACAGCGGCGGGATCCGAAAAACTACTCAGAGGGTGGCTGGAAGGGTCAAGTGGAAGATTTTAAGGAGAACCCTGGGCCTAGCAAACCCTCAGCAATACCCCGTTCTGTCCCCCTTAGCTGCCTCTTCAGGGGGAATACAGAAAACAGAGAAGATATGAAGAGGCTGTTACATGGGTATCCATTTGCTTGGGGTTCTCTTCCACAGCGGGACAATTCGAGTATGGGAACTGGATCTCCCAAATAGAAAAATCTGGCCAACGGAGTGCCAGACCGGTCAGATGAAAAGAATAGTCATGTGTATTACAGTAAGTATGACTCTTAAGTGTTACTGTCTGTAACCATTGGTACAAATTCCAAGGGGTGTGTGCGTGTGTGTGTGTGTGTGTGTGTGTGTGTGTGCCAGCTCACGTGCACACATACGTAAGTGTGTGTACCTTGGGCTGGGGGTAGGCAGGTGAGATCTGGACATAAGGGATGCTGATTGAGGAAGCACAGGTGAGGGAGAGACTCACTGCCCAGACACAGCTCCGGGAAGGTCTCATTTTACTGGGACTGGGGCTTCCATCAGACCCCAGAAACCCGCCTCACCTAGACAGAAGCCGTGTGGCCAGGAGGCATTCAGAGGCCGCAGCACACTCCCATGCCACTGTTTCTTGCTTCCACCACTGGAAATAAAGTCCCCAACAGTGACACTCATGGTTGAAACGCAGTCTCTTCTATAAAGAGGAATTATTCCTATGTTTTTAATGTGGGCGCATACGTTCACACAGATGACTCCCTTCCCCATGGACTTATTTCTCTTTAGGCAATGCGTCCTCATTTTATACAGACAGACTTTGGAAAATATGAGATAAAGCAAATACACATTCTCTTTGGAGGAGCAAACCTTCATCCCAGGCGCCCTACAGAGGCATCTCCGGAATCGGAGCTGGCGGGATATCTACGCATGTGGATCTAACACCAGACACTATAGGCTTCCCCTGGAAACGCACAGGCTAACTGGACTCACATATTTCCTCCATTTCTGAGGAGGAAATATGTGACTCCCTGAGGCTCCTGCTGAGGCTGTTCTTACCCATCGTAGAGTCTGCAGAAATTGAAGTAGCCGTGACCACCTTTGGAGGTCTTTATGGGGCCTCAGAGAAAGTTCGTCCCCTCCCTGATCAGGGCCCACGGGCATCGCTGAGAAAAAAACACAGGCCTTTACGTCCCTCCTCCTCTCTGATCAGATTGCCGTCGATGATAGCTTTTTCTACCTTGGTACCACAACTGGAGATATTCTGAAAATGAACCCAAGGACCAAGCTGCTGGCAGACACTGGGCCTGCGAAGGACAAATTCAGCCTGGTGAGTACAGACCCCCAGAGTCTGCTCTGCCCTGCTCTTTTCCGGTGATTTCCTCCCTCCACTGGTAGCACAGACCTACATTAAGAGTCTGCGTTCAAAAGAAAAAGTGTATGTTGTACCCAAGGCCACGCCGAAATTTGCAAGGTGCATAAACTTCTTCCCTGAGCAAACGTATATGTCAGCATCCTCAGTTAGGGAATCAGACCTTCCAAGCACAGGGCCTGCGGCTCTGTGATTTATAACCACGTTGCTGCCAACATTTCGACAGCCCTGTTACCATATATAAGAGAAATGTGCTTTTTGATCTATAATACCACATATAGACATGCATGTGCGTGTAATTTTTGTCCCAATCTAATAACTAGTCTTAGATTTTAACTCCAGCCAGCAACGTAAGTCATAAGCAAGACCTAGAAGTTGTCGATTTTTAAAAAATTTTTTTAAACATTTATTTATTTTTGAGAGACAGAGAGAGACAGAATATGAGCAGGGGAGGGGCAGAGAGAGAGGGAGACACGAGAATTCGCAGCAGGCTGCAGGCTCCAAGCTGTCAGCACAGCGGGGCTCGAACTCACCAACCGCGAGATCACGACCTGAGCCGAAGTCAGACGCTTAACCGACTGAGCCACCCAGGCGCCCCTAGAAGCTGTCGATTTTTATATTTGCAGGGTTCCTAACAATTCTGGGTGAAAGTCCAGAAAGACTTTGATATCTAAACCAAAATAAAATGTAATGCGATCAAAAGAGAGTTTCACAGAGTAAGCACGGCTGTTTTCAGTACCCCCAGAAAGTTAACAAGGGCTGTTTCCACTAATCTTTGCATTTGAGAGCAGATGGTCCTAACTAAGCTTAGATACTTATCCACTCAGCAGATATTCCCGAGAAGACTTGGAATCCTGAACCATGTTCTGGGAAGATGTTAGGGTTTCCTTAATCATGCAGCCATTTAATAATACTCAAGTTTTGTTGTTGTTGTTGTTGTTGTTTTTAATAATACTCAAGTTTTCAAGGACATGCCTAAGAGTGAGAAAAAGCTATAGTACGGGTAGAGAAGGGTTTAGAAATAATGCCACAGGAGATCGAGATGTAGTCTCGATAATGTTGTCCAAGTTATTTTTAGGAGGCAGATTCCAGTATGTTAAACAGATAAAAGCTAACACAGATCAGTTCAAGGAGAGGAAGGCTCAGAACCCTGCTGTTTCCAACTCCTGAGATACTGCCAGAGGGCCCCATAAAACGTGTGAAAAGTACTGATCTGGATATTTTTTGCACCCTCTTCCCCCAGCACTTGGGATCTAACCACATTTCCCCCCCCCAAAAAAAAAATTGTTGGCCGTCTTCATGTTTCTCAAGCTTTTAGTACCTACGTGCCTTGCATAGTGCACTGTGGATGGTTTACTCCTAACCATTTAAGCCTGATGGTAAATTCCATAAAGAAATGATTCTAAGATGCCTCTTATACAAGTAGAAAGAAAGTAATTCTTTTTGTTTTTTATTTTAGAGAGAGAGAGCAGGGGAGGGGCAGAGAGAGAGGGAGAGGAAGAATCCCAAGCAGGCTCTCCACGCTGTCAGTACAGAGCCCCATGTGGGGCTCGATCCCACGACCCTGGTATTATGACCTGAGCCAAAAATCAAGAGCCAACCGGCTGAGCCACCCAGGCATCCCGGAACTCTTACATAATCTTACGGGATGAAGGGATAGGAAGTATCACTGAACACATTTGTTTGGAATATTACGTGATCTTGGGCAGTAACCCATTTTGAAAATCTACTTAGGGGCGTCTGGGTGGCCCAATCAGTTAGGTATCTGACTTTGGCTTGGGTCATGATCTTCAGCCTCATGGATTCCAGCCCTATGTGGGGCTCCATGCTGACAGCTCGGAGCCTGGAGCCTGTTTCGGATTCTGTGTCTCCGTCTCTGCCCCTCCCCTGCTCACGCTCGCTCTCTCTCTCTCTCAAAAATAAACATTAAAAAGTTAAAAATATAAAAAAAGAAAAAAGAAATCACACTTTGAGGCCCTGTTGAACACTTTATCTCCTGCTTCCCCAAGTCCCCAGACACATGCTAAGAATATTCACTCCTGGGTCATCTCCCTGGACAACGGGCCAGGCATTTATTGACTTGTCCTCCCACAGTGCTTCTGGAACTGGGGCAGCCAGACAGGGGGAGGGGGAACCACATAATTCTGCTCCATGCCTTCATATTCTGGAACCTTGCTTTTTCCTCTCCAACATGAAATGCTTTTTGAACCAGAACAGGCAGAACTCAACGTAATGTAACTCGAAGGGACATGATATTTGTTTTATGATGGTCAAAGTTTGTTAAGACAAGCCTGAAAAAAGTCACTAGCTGTACTATTACCGAAAGCTTTACCATGAAATATTGGTCATGCACATTTTAAAATCAGAACTTCACAGTGGGTGCTGTAAAATAACCATCCAATCTCCCCAAACTTCGAAGATGGCTTTGAGTTTAAATACGTCCTATCGTTGGTAAGGTTATATACTGCATGCTTTAGTTCAGAAAATATAGTCACCAAACAATGAGGGGTTATAAGAGTTATAAGTGTAGGAATTAAGTTCTGGGGGCACCTGGGTGGCTCAGTCGGTTGAGCGTCCGACTTCTGCTGGGGTCACGATCTCACAGTTTGTGGGTTCGGGCCCCGCGTCGGGTTCTGCGCTGACAGTGTGGAGCCCGCTTGGGATTCTCTCTCTCCTTCCCTCTCTGCCCCTCTCCCACTCACACATTCTCTCTCTCCCTCTCACACAAAATTAAATAAACATTAAAAAAAAGAATTAAATTCTGGTGAAAACAGTGGCTGCTTGTGTGGCTGTCTTTCCATCTCCTGCTCTCACTCCATGTGAGTGGATGTAAAGTATTTATGTTTGATGCATTCAAAATGCACAGCTGGCTTTACAGGGAGGAAGTTTGGTGAAGCATGCTTGGTCCTTTCCAGACCGGGAAGGCTACTTCCGGCACGGAGGCTCGTTGTTGGCACTGGGCCCTTGTGTCCAGCCCAGGGGTGCATCCCAGGCGATCCCTTCATGAGCTTTCTCTAGACAACACGTGCCAGCACTGACATAACCCCCTGGCCATCCCTCGTCCCAGGCCACACGCTGACTCTTCCCGATGAAACCATTTGGCCTTTCTCTCAGTGCTGTTTCTCCCCCAACAGGGAGTGTCCACGATCAAGTGCCTGAAGATGGGGGGGTTGTTGGTGGGTTCCGGAGCCGGATTGCTGGTCTTCTGTAAAAGCCCCAGCTACAAACCCATCAAGTAAGTTCCAGACTCCGTGGGGTTGGGATGGGGAAAGACCCACCAGCGGGAGGTCTGCGTAAAGCCAGGGGCTGTGAGATATTGGCAAAGTCGTATCTGGTAAAAGAGTTGCATCTTACTGTGAAAACGAGAGGTTGGAATCACAACCGATGATTTTGTTGCCGGTGAAAAGACAATAGCTCGTGTTGAATCAAGACAAAGTAGCCCCCGATGACCCAAAGGGGGATACTGCCCTTCTAATAAACACATAAATTATGATTTCACTTGATACATGGAGCCATGACGGCAGATAAGACGCGGTTATAAAGATACCCAGCCAATAACCTCAAATTTCAAACTTTGAAAATTTGCGTATTCAGTAGAATTTCTGATGCCATGCGTACCTATTATGCGTCAGGCACTCTGCTGGTACGACTACTACTATTCGTTTGAATAGAAGTCTTGATACAAATAGCCAACCTTCACCAGCTACTTCTTTGTAGTAGATACTCCACCATGTACTCTTTATGGATTATCCAATTAAAATGAAACGCAAGAAAACTTTATCCATTGTCCCCTTAGTAAGTGTTCATTGAGCACCTCTGTCCAAACCAGTGTGCCAGATGCTATTAAAACATAAAGAAAGTAAGATATGGTCTTTGTCCTTCCAGAACTTAGAGTCTGGTTTGGGGATAAGTTCTACACGTACGAAAAAGTCCTCGGAATACAAGATAATATGTATACACAAATCTCATAGTCCAGATAAAGTAAAACGTATTATAGATATGTTACAAAGGACGTCAGAGAAGGGGGCGATCCCACGGGGGTAGTGGGCAGAGGGGCAAAGGCAGAACTTGAACGGAGTTTCAGCAAAATCAGATGGCCCTAGATATGCCTCCTGTGGCCTCGGCACAGCCCCAAGGGAGCTACAGGATTGTAGGAAGTGCATCAGCTGTCTTCATTCCGACAAATCTGTGCCGAGCATTCACTAGGTACCCGGTGCTATTCCGGGTGCGCTTGGGGTACGGCAACGAACAAAGCAAACAAATGAAGGGAAAAGTCCCTGCTCTCATGGAGCTGACGTTGCGGCAGGAGGGAAAAAGACGGTCAGTAACACAGTAAACAAGGAATTACATCGTATTGAAGGCTGGTGAGAACCGTGGAGACAAATGGAGTTGGAGATACAGGAAGGGGGGACTAGGGTTTGAAGAGAGAGGGGACAGGTAGCAATTTTAAATTCAGTGCCCCCCAGATAGGTCTTCTTGAGAATATATGGGGACTGGTTTTATGTTTGTGTGAAGGGGACTAAGAGAGGGAGGCTACTCCAGGGCAGCGTTGGCTAGACTCTGGATACATGGAGTGAGTATAAAAAAATGAACCCCCTAGTTTTCTAACACCTTGTTTTGAATACACAGACGTGATGTCCCCATTGTAACGAAGATGGTTAGATTCAAGGCACTTATTACAGGGTCTGTGCTGTGTAAGCCTCCAAACTAACCTTGTGTGACAGGATAGCCTCCCCTTGGATGCGGTGATTTCTACCTCCTTGGGTTTTCGTGGGTTAAGTAAGTAGCTCCTGTGAGAAGTCAGGAAAGTATTATGATGAAGCACACTGCCGGAGTTCAGGGACCCCTGGCCTCGCCCTGCATAGCCCTGGCCTTCACCTTGTCTTCTAGGGAGCCCACATGCCAATAGCCAGTATTTCTATTGGCTGCCCTCCATGGCCTCATGTACATGACCTCCATTATCTCTAATCCTCACTGAGACCCCGCAGAGGAGAAATTATTCTGCGGTTGAATGGACTGAGGCCCGGGGATTTCTGGCGATGTATCCAGAGTCTCAGAGCTCTATCTAGTTAGTGAAGAATCCGGCATGTGACTTGGGGTCAATCCTTTCTTCATTAACCGTTCTGCATCCCACCAACAAATGGATCTTTGTGAAACACTGCGTTTCCCACGCTGATCCCTTGCACAAGAACCCCTGTTACATTCTGATTGTTAAAACTAAATCGGTTGCAGATTGGGTTTTTAGGGCCTCATTCATTTTTCTGCTCTTTTTTTTTTTTTTTTAAAGTTCATACTTGTTAAACATTTGGGAAACAGAAGGATCTGAAATGTGGAAGAAGAGAAAACAGTCCCTGAAAGTTCTGGTGAAGATAGTCACCGCTAACATCTTGTTATTTCTCCCGGTCTGCGTTCTTCGTACACATTTTGAAATAATTGTACTTATTTTGTGTATGAAATTCTATTTTCTGGTTTATTTTTACTTAAGGCGAGCATCATCAACATTTTCAATATTACTGTTTTTTAAAAAACTGTGGTAAAATATACATATACTCCATAAACTCTTCAACATGGCTTTACTGGCCAGGCAAATATCTTTGAGAAGTTGCCGTCCCATAGACGATTTAACCATTCCGTTATTATTAAATAGTTCCAACTTTTTTCTCTTTTCGTTAAGGTTATAATAACATCCTTTGACATCAAGGCTTCTCCCCTCCCCCAGTTTTAGGATTATTTCCCAGAAATGGCATTAATAAAGTATTCGACTGCCATGGTGGTTTGTGCGCATTGCCTGCCTGGAATGTTCCCTCTATCCAGATCCTGCCAGTGTTTCACAACCCATTTTAGACTCTCTGTCGCTGAGGAAGCCCCCTCCCCTGCCCCCGACTATCATAAACCATGCTGGCCTCTCCCTCTGCTGACCACGGGCACCCAATATTGTGAGTCACTCCTGCCTCTCCGATCGCGTCACCTCCCTGAAGTTATGTCCCAGGTCATATGCCTGATTTGTATCCTCTGTAATAAATACTCCCTGATTGAGTGACTCCACCTTCTTGCTTCTCCTGAAAGGAAAATCCAGTTACAAGGTGGCATCACTTCTATCACCCTTCGAGGGGAAGGACACCACTTTTTTGTAGGAACGGAAGAATCCCACATTTATCGGGTCAACTTCACGGATTTCAAAGAGACTCTCATTGCAACCTGTCACTTTGAAGCTGTCCAGGACGTTGTCTTTCCATTGTAAGTAGAAGAGCAAAGGACTTTTGCTCCTAACATCAATGAAAACATGGAGGTCTGACACAGTGTGCCAGGAAATGTAGTTTTATCATGTTAATGCATTTTCAACATCCATTAACATAATTGTGATTTTTTTTTTTTTTGATAAGCAAGGTTTCGGTAGAGTCAGTTATCTTAATAGCAATTGTAATTTAATATCATTAATTACAGTAATAATTATAAATATAATACTGGTATTTTCTTATTATTTAATAAGAATTCTTAACAATAATTATTTCTATTACCTTCACCACATCGCTACATGTTTTCACAATTGAAATTTGGGCTTCTTTTGAATGTTGGCTTTTCTAATAAGCCCATCAGGGAAACATTTCTGTTTTCACAATGCTGTCTGGAGAAACCTTAGTAGTGCCTTTTTTCAAACTTCTTTCAGCTGGGTCTTTTAGATTGGGCATACTTAACGGTGGTGGCCTCAGGACGTCTCCTGGACCTCTTGGTGATCTTCTGGATTTCTTGGTAAATCCCACACAAAACAAGTGAAACAACCATTAGCAGCTGTGACATCAAAAAACAGTCGTTTGCCATGATTTGCTTTTGAAATACACTTTGTCTCTGGCAACATTCATCCCACAAAGCTGATCAGACAGGTTTTGCTCTGACCTTCCTCAGCATGAACTTGAATTTGCAAAACTTGAATTTGCTCACGATCATGAAATGTGCTTTGGGTTCCCTGAGTCCTTGAAAGTGGGTTCTTCTAAATGTTTCTAAGAGTGAAAATGGCTCGTGCTTCCTACCAGGGGGATCTTTTTGGAAAACTGGTTAGTCAGGGGCGCCTGGGTGGCTCAGTCAGTTAAGCATCTGACTTCAGCTCAGGTCATGATCTCCCGGTTCGTGGGTTTGAGCCCCACATTCATGGGTTGGAGCCCCACATTGGGCTCTGTCATGACAGCTCAGAGCCTGGAGGCTGCTTCGGATTCTGTGTCTCCCTCTCTCTCTGCCCCTTGCAGATCGATCTCTCTCTCTCTCTCTCTCTCTCAAAAATAAACATTTAAAAATTTTTAAAAATTAAAAAAAAAATAAAACTGATTGGTCATTTTCTTTCCATCTCACTGTTTTCCTCTTTTTTCTAAGGAGCTTGGTAGAATCAATTGGTAAAAATTATTTGGCCCCTGGGGCCTTTTATAAGAACAGATTTTCAACTATCTTTTCGAATACAGGATTTGTAACTCTTCTTTTTCTCCCCACCTCCTTTTTTTTTTAAACAGCTTTATTGAAATATAATTCACCTACCATAAAATTTACCCATTTAGAGTGTGCAGTTCAGTCATTTTTGCGTATTACAGAGTTGTGCAACCATCACCATAATCTAATTGTAGAACGTTGCATTATCCCCAAAAGAAACCTGTTAAGAGTCACTACCCTCTTCCTGCTTTGCTCCCTCCCCCTTCCCCCGCCAAGCTGAGGAGAAAACTGAGCCCAGAGGAAGGACGTGAGGTAAATGAGCATCATGTAAGGGAACACACGCTTCCTCTCCTTGCTGATTCATCTGTGTTAATGTACATTGTTTTCAGCTGCTATTACTTTGTACGCCAAAGCATTGATATATTGGGGGAAAATATTTATGAACCAAAGCAACTTCTGCAATATTCTGCCATCACGGGCCTCTTTGCCAACTGCATATGAGCTAATACACATTACAGAAACATGCATTGTAGCAAAAGAAACTGTCTCTTTTTTTCAACCTATTGGTATTGTTTAATTTTAGGTAAGTCTTGGTCTTCTGTAGAATTCGATCTGTTCGTACTTATTTATGTCAAATGAGTTTATAGATATTTTCTATTTAACAAAGTTTCTTTTTTTCTTGTTTACTTTTCTTGTCTTTTGCTGTGTGGCCATCATGTTTTTCGGTCCTCCCTTCCCCTCCCCTGCTCCCCATGACTTGGAAACTATTCACTTTGTTTTTATTCACTTAGTGATTTACCCTTGAATTTCTAATATAAATTATTTTTCTTTCAAACACTAGAGTTAACCAACATTTATATCATATTTTCCAAAGGAGCAAGAGTCTCGGCATATTTTATTTCCCTCTCACCGTCTCTGATGATAACATTGTTTAGAATTAGACTCAGATTATGTAGTTATTATCTTTTACAAATAATTACTTTTAGCTTTAACTATAACTTTTGTTTTTTGCTTTTATCACCCTCTTTTTCTTTCACACATCTCCCTATTTGATTTTTTTCTATGTTGTTCATGGGGGAAGGGGTGGGGGATGGTAATTCTTTCAGAGATAGTCTGTGTATAGAAAATTTGGTCCTTACTAATCTGAATATATTTTTGTTTTACCCTCGGATTTCAGTGATAATGTGGCTAGGTATAAAAAGTATTTTCATGAACTTTGTATTGAAATATACTTACAGAAAGCATATAAATCATAAGTAACCGCCTCAATGAAATATCACACCTATATGACTACCACCTGGTCAAACAATAGAATATTTCCATCACCCAAAACACCCCTTTTAATCACTACCCTTACCCTTTTCCTTAAAGAGAATCACTACCTGGGCTTCTAGCCCCATAGATTCATTTTACCTGCTTTTGACCTTCGTGTAAATGGAACAATTCATTATGTATTTTGGAGGTCATATTTTTTTCTCTATGGAACCTTTTTTTTTTTTTTTTTTTTTTTTTTTTTAATTTTTTTTTTCAACGTTTATTTATTTTTGGGACAGAGAGAGACAGAGCATGAACGGGGGAGGGTCAGAGAGAGAGGGAGACACAGAATCGGAAACAGGCTCCAGGCTCCGAGCCATCAGCCGAGAGCCCGACGCGGGGCTCGAACTCCCGGACCGCGAGATCGTGACCTGGCTGAAGTCGGATGCTTAACCGACTGCGCCACCCAGGCGCCCCTCTATGGAACCTTTTAATGTGACTGTCATACATAGCTTATCCTTAGTAGTTTTTTTTGTCAATAATTTTATCATTTAACTGAGAGAAGTGTGTTAAAGCCTCAAGCAACGAACATTGATTTCTTCCTTTATTTCTGTCAGTTTTTGCTTCATGTATTTTTGAAGGGTGTGTGTATGTGTGTGTGTGTGCACATTAGCATATATATATATATGCACAATCTAATGTATTGACATTTTAATCATTATTAAGTGTACCCTCTTCATTTCCAGTAATTCTCTTTGATTTGAAATAAGATATTAATGTATTCATCCCAGCTTTGTTGTTCTTCGTATATATTTCACAAAATACTTTTACTTTCAATATAGTGTATCTTTAAAGCTCTTCTCTTGAAACGGCATGTAATTAGTTATTGCTTTTCTATCCAGTCTAAAAATCTCTACATTTTATTTAGAATGCTTAGTCCACTTTACTCTTAATGTAATTTTTGATCTAGTAGTATTAAATCTTCCTTTGTTATTTTTCTTTTGTCTCATCTGTTCTTTGTTCTTCTATTCTTTCCTTCCACCTTTTGCTTTTTTTTTTAAATTTTGTTAACGTTTATTTATTATTGAGAGACAGAGCGTGAGCATGGGAGGGCCCGAGAGATGGGGAGACACAGAATCCGAAGCAGGCTCCAGGCTCTGAGCCATCAGCACAGGTCCCAACGCGGGGCTCAAACCCACGAACTGTGAGATCATGACCTTTGTCGAAGTCGGGCGCTCAGCCGACTGAGCTCCCCGAGGCGCCCTCCACCTTTTGCTTTAATCAAATGTTGTTAGTGTTACATTTTCATTTCTCTATTGGCTTTCTACCTATACATCTTTGCATTAATTTTTTTTAATGGCTGCTCTAAGGATGATGATGTACATTTTTAACATATCACAGTCTGCTTAGAGTTAATGTTGAATTACTTCAAGTAAAATGCAGTCTGGGAACTTTGCGACAACTTCTCTTACCCCCATTCTTATTCTTGGTGCTTTTGTTTTCATGTATGCCTACCTATTCATATTATTAACCCATTGATACAAAATTATAATTTTTGTTTTAAAAGAGTCATAAATCTTTGTCATAAATATATATTATAATAATTTATAAGTACAATAAAATATAGTTTTTAGTTCTTTGTTGATATTACCTATCTGTTAATTTATTGGTATCATAGTTTCCTTTAATACTTTGAATGCAACTTAAATAGTTGCTTTAGTCTTTGCCTGTTAATCCAATACCTTGATCTATTGGAGTCAGTTTCTTTTGACTGCCTTTTTCTTGACTCATATTTTCCTATTTTTCTGCATGTCTAATTACTTTTTGTTGAAAACTCAGCATAATAGGTAATACATATTATCGACATATATGTATTATCTACAGACATATTATCTATATACATGTATATCTGCATACATATCTACATCTACATATAATGCAGTAACTCTGAATTCTGTAGTATTCTCTGAGGATTCTTGGCCTGGACTCAAACTGCAAACTTTATCTTTCTCATAGAATGCAGCAGCTGACATTTTCATGGCTTCCCACGGCTACTTTTTTGTACAGGTTCTGGGCAAGCCCGTGGGCTTGTGTAATTTAGCATCCTCCCAAGGATTTGTGCAGAGATGAAACTCATCCTCTCCATGGTTTCCTTGCTTCTGGGGATTTTCCCCTAGCTTCCAGGTGTTCTTATGACCTCAGGCCCTGGCTTCTGATATGTTAAGCCTGTAAGGTCCATCTTTCTGCCACTCAAGCTGAACACAGTTGGTGAATGTATTCAGTTAAAAAGGGAAAAAAAGGG